ACTCTTTCGTGAAATAAACGAGTCATGTGTCTTGACATAATGTAGTATGGAATCAGTTTACATTATATTTTATTCTAGCATCTTGATTAAAAACAAGTTAGCTATCAAGTCATAATTCATTTTAGGGAGACAAAGTGATTTCATTATACTAAGACTTGAGGAGCATTTCTTGTGAAATAAAACGGTATTATTCACTCAGAAAACACACAGAGCTTGGTGCTGCAGTACATCATTTTTCTATTTTTCCTCTGTCACTTATTAAGTTATGATTCTGTACGTACACGGTACCTTGATTTGTTTAAGCTACATGGATTCTAGGCTGCTTTGTAAATTTCAGGTCTGCGTTATGCATGTTTTAATGAAGAATTAACTATGAGTCCTGGGGACAGCTCTGGTTCAGTCTTGTCGCACTTCCAGATGTGCACCTGGTTCTTTATTATGTCTCACATAGGAAGCTGGTAGGTATCTTTCTGAGAGCATCTCGTTAATGAATCAATTCACAGTAAGATGTATATTTGGGAGAAAAAAAGAGTAGAATTGTAATTATGGTAATGTGGCAAAATAGCTTAAAAATGGAAAATAAACCAGGAGTCTAGCTGCTGTAATGTGAACATTGTGTTTCTCTTTAATTTGCTGTTGTCTTGGAACCTAGCTGTTTATGCAGTGCTTTCACCTTCTGTTGCTTGTCTAAGTGCCAACTTCTTTCCCAAAGGTGTTCAGTGACTAATGCTTTGGTTACAAGCCAGAATATTTTATAAATGTCTATTTCTGGGCAGCTCTTCTACAAGTCTTAATTAAACTTTAATGTCTAACTAAAGTTTACTTTTAGAACCTCGTAGGTTCCTTTTTCTAATATGATTACAGAGTTGGGGGACAGGGAATTAGGACAGCCATGTCCCCACACATTTCCTCTCTCCCATTTAATGGTGCCACCAAGCAGATGTGTACTACTTAACCCCAAGGTTTACAACACAGGCACGAGTAAATCACAGCCATTCCCTAAAATGTTGCGGTAGCACACTGTCACTGAGTCAGACTCCTCCACCCTGCAATGGTGCCCAGGGTTCAGAATTACTGCTTTGTTAGTTATTACACATTCTTCCAGGATATCCAGCTGCTCAAATCAAGGATCCCAACGTAGAGATGATACATATGCAAGTGTTCTTTCCTTTCTTCTCCATGTCTGGGGGAGTTATGAGGACTGAGAGATAATTTTCTCTAATTCTATATGGCTTCTTGGAGTAAAGAACTGCATCCTATGCCATCCCATAAAATGAAGCTTCTACCATAGACAGAATAGTACAAAATAGATCTAAAGTAAATATGGTAATAAATGTTTATTTTGTAATTAATTTACTCATTAATCAGATTGCTTTATAACAAGAGCCTGCATCCCTTTTCTGTGAAGGGACAGATAGTACATATTTGAGTCTTTGTGAGACAGAGATCTCTATCCCAACTACCAGCTCTGTCACTGTAGTGCAGACACATGGCTGTGTTCTAATAGAACTTTATTTTCTAAAGGAGGCAGACATGGCCTTCAGGTGGTGGTTTACAGATCTCTGCTCTACGGTATGCTTGCTTTGTATATGGAAATTCTAAAATATTTTTTTTTATTTAAAAATAGTTCCTTATAGTATGTTTTGTTTTTTAAATATAATTTTTCAGAATAATTTAGACTGGTTGTCAAAGTAAGTCAAGATTCAGAGATTTTAAGGAATTAATCCTGGGTTGAAAAATTATAAGAATCTGCTCATAGAAACATACAAATAAATATAAATATGTATATGGCCTGTGGAATTACACATGTATGTCCACCAAAAAACTGCAATAGTTTCAAAAATGGAAATTGTCCAAAGTCCCATGGATAACTGAAAGGATAAATAAGATGTGGCATATTCATAAAATAGACTGTATTCACCAATGATAATCGTTTTACCACTACAAGTATCAATATGTTAATCTCACAAAATTTTGAATAAAAGGAGCCATGCAAAAGAACAGATTCCCAAAAATTACATACTCAAATACTCAAAGATTATATTACACTTATATAAAATACAAAACTGAGCAAAACCAATTCAGATGATTAAAAATCAAGGAGGGTGGGGCCAATAACAGGAAGGAAAAAGCCCAAAGAGTTTTTCAGTGATGCTGCTCTTATTATTTTCCTTGATCTGGGTGCTAGTTTAACACATGTTTTCATCTTATTTAAAAAATAACTGAGCTGTACGATTAGGATATGTGCATTTTTCTGTGCATGTATTATGAGGTTTAAAACAAAAAAAAAGAACTATCAAGCATTAAAGTGCCCAGTTGCTTAGAAGTTATATTATTAGAGTTATAAAAGTGGGAAAAGTGTCCCAAATTATTTTATTTGCATATTCTGAGGTTTATAAAAATAATTCTCAAAAACCATACCACACTTCCAGTTTTGATTTTGCCATGGTCATATGATACCATTAATTTATAGGTCAATTCAGCAGTTTTATCACCGCTAAAACGTTAGATTGTCTAGATGTGGTACAGATCACAACGTAATGCTAGATATTTACTTTCTTATTGAGACATTTGGAATTTGTATACCATCACAGAACAGATAAACATGGCTTAAGGCTATAAGGTGATGGTATTTATATTGCTTCTTTGGTAGACTTCTGCCAGTCAATAACTTATCCGTTAACTTCCCCAGTTTTGTCTGACATGTTGCTTGGACACCACCAAATCCTTCTTTATGTTTAATACAGACATGTACATACCTGCATATATTTTTTGAACACTGTGTTGTTAGGCTCTGAGAAAGCATGTTAATCATGATCCAGCATCTTCTCCCCACAACAAATTAGTCTAGTGGTGAGAGAAACCAGACAGAAACTTGACATTGTGAAAATATTGCCCAGTATGCTTTGGGAGAGGGAAAAGCTGCCACCTTACACTGTTAGGGGAAAGCAGTGCAGGGTGAAGGTGGTTAACAGTGAGTTTTGGCTGGAACCCAGCTAAGAATTATTGACATCTAAGCTAAATCTTGAAGAATAAGTACAAATCAGATGCATGAGGAGGAGATGTTGATGTCGGAGAGCCAGCTTGAAGAAAGACACAAAACATCCTGGTGTATTAGATGCCTGTTTGTAGATAAATATGACTGAAACAAAAGAATAAATTGTGCAGTGAAAGTGAAGCAGGGGCCAACTCTGGACGGCCTCTGTGTCATGCTACGGATTTAGAACTCCTATCTTGAAAGTAATGTAAGGTACTAAACAGACACTTACCATTACCTAATTTGCTTTCTTGAAAATGTCCCTCTGGCAGTGTGGCAGTGTGAAGATTGGATTAAAGGAGAAGAGAAGGACTTGAGACAGAGAAATCAATTAGGAACCCAATCCAAGTTATTTTAGATTCAATCATGATATTTTCAGACTTAAAAATCTTTCTTGAGGCAGCCAATTTAAATAACCATTGTAGTAGAAAAGGAAAAGTATCATGTCTTTACTACCGCAGGCAAAAATTGTTTCCTTTCCTGGTTTCCCAGAGCCCTCTGTGCATAACTTTTGCTCACTTATGTATTTTTTTTTGCATTTATTTATACTTCTGTCCCTTATTAGCTGTAGGAAGGAGTGAAGTGTGTTTGTATTTGGGAACAATGAACTTAGTGCCTGATTTATTGTACAGAAACTTTCAGTTATATTCAGTCATTCATGAATCTTCAAGTAATGCTTAAAAGCAGAAATTGTTAAACATGTTCTTGAACTCTGACCTTACATACTCTATCTTTAATCAATTCACAAAAACTAAATTCCTACTGTATCTTTAGTAGTTCCATAGTTTATTCAAACACTAACCTTCTATACAAATGTTGATTCGAATGGCACAATTTAAACATTATTGAAGAAACTTTCTAAATTCTGCAGTGCTAGGTGAATATACATATATTTTTTTTATCCTCACTGGATATTTTGCTTTGGGTCACATACTTCTCTACTTTGAGCTAATTTTTCCAGATTTTAAATTACTAGGTATTTAAGAACTTCTGTCTTTGGGAAAAGTTAATAAAATAACATGCTGTAACTGAAAGTTTTCCTTAGCACCTAGCTGTTCTAACCCTCTCAATGGGAAAAGGATGAACTGTGTAGAAATTTGAAATTGTTTCAAGACTATAGAACATTTTAGCTGTGGCCTTTGAATAAGTTCCTTATGCCTCAAATACTTCATATTTAAAATATTCTAAGGATTTCATACAGTATACATAACCCAGATCTTCACTGAATGGTAGGTAGTATGGGATCAGATGACTGACGCTTAAAAATGCTAAATTACTTCCCACCCAGAACAACTGCTGGTGGTGCCAGGACTTGAACTCACGCATATGTGTGGATTTGCAGTAATCTATACTTTGTAATACACAGGAGGATGAAGCATTTCTCCAGTTCTAATTTGGCCTGGTTATTGATGAAGGTGACCAGCTGCTTCAGAATTTAATTCTAGTCCAACAGATTTTAGTGCCATGCACTTGCTGGGAGACGTAGTTGTTCTTCCTCATGCCTTGCTCACTTGTACCAAGCATTCCTTCTAGTCTTCTCCTTTTCTACCAGTTCTGTCCATTTTCTTCTCTTGGTTCAGGTAGCAGCTGATTCAATGTCTATTTTAGGCTTATAAGAAAAGAAAAAATGATTTGCCTTTAAAAAACGTTGTAAAATAATAAGGAAAATGTTAAAATTACAGAAGCGACAGGTTAAGCAGAAAAGAAATAAGAAAATACACCAGTTTAATTATAGCTAAAAAACTTGCCTTGGGTGACTGAATTTACCAAAAACATGAGAAAGAATTCTTTTTAATACGAGTTTACATCTTGCATAGGGTCAATCCCATAATTATTTTTCCAACTTAGTAAGCTATGTTCAGCATAAATTTCATATATATATATGCTTGTGTACATATATGCAGAGAGAGAGAGGGATGTTTATTTCCTAAACAAGAACTAAATAATATTACTTAATCTTTAGGCCCCATGAAAATAAAACCCATATTGCTGTTGGGAGTATGAAGACATTAATGTTGAATGTGTCCTTGTTTAATGCTGGAGATGATGCATATGAAACTACTCTACATGTCACACTACCCATGGGTCTTTACTTCATTAAGATTTTAGAGCTGGTAAGTACTGTTTATAGTACTTAGCATTTTATTTTTTAAAAGTAAATGGTAGAATTCACTTCATTGATTTGGGGTATAAGTCTTAATGTTTAGGCTCTTAATTATTTTCAGACTTCCTCCATGCCCCTGCTCAGAATGGCAAGTTCTTGGGTCTTAAATCCAAAGGCATTAACCTGTTTTCCAGTGCTAGGAGTAGGAGGAAGCTGCCTGGGAGCTTTTACATTCTCACTGCTGTAGCCAGCACATGTCTGATGTTGGAACAGTGATGTTGTATGCCCCTTGATTGTGGTCCTTGAACAAGTAACGTTGGTCCTTCATGCTGGGCTCCAGAGTTACTGTTCTTTATTTTAAGGTTACATTCAGACAATTAATGGAATCTTCTCTATCCCATATCAAATTCACTCATCTCTTGTTCAGGAACCTTCACATCAAAAGTGACCCTCAACCTCTCACAAATATCTACTACCTTCTTTCTGTAGAGCATTTGCAACCTATTTGCAAAAGTAAGAGTGGAAACTCAAATATTCAGGGACTGTATTTTTAAAACATTTTATACTTGCTGCACAATTATAACCTCATTACACCTATTGAGATTATAGCTATTTTGATTAAATACGTTAAAGACATTCTCACATACCAGACAGAAGAGGGCCATTAAAATATGAACCTAATAGATTCCTCACCTCATGATTCTTCAAGGAATTTAGACCTTGGATTAAATATGGAATATACCAAGATGAATAAAACAAGTCCAGAAATTTTTCTGTGGAGAATCTGTTTGAATACTACGGTATACCTGTCTGCATATACAAACACATTTATGTATCATTTATTTATATTTCTATTAATCTCCAACATAAATAGAAAATAGTTTCCCTAGGAAAACAAATACTTCTGGGATGTTATTCTTTTCAATAATCATCCTTAAACATATGTTACAAACTTTTTATTTCCTTCCTGTCCAAGCCAGTTGTTTCATTTTTCCCATCAGGAAGAGAAACAAATAAACTGTGAAGTCACAGATAACTCTGGCATGGTACAACTTGACTGCACTATTGGCTATATATATGTAGATCATCTCTCAAGGGTAAGTGTTTCACATTTTTGGCTTTTGTTCACTATCATGAATATTTTTTATACTTCCCTATCTTTATGTTGCATATAAAATATTATATATATTTTAGCTTAAAGGAGGTAGCTGAGTGATGAAATAAAACTGGTTCTTGAAATCTCTGAGCTGTGTGTTTATAATTTTGGCAATGTTCACTGTTTTAAAGGGGGGGGCTGTGCATGTGTCAATCAGAATTCTCCCCTTACACACCCTTTCCCAACACCCCTCACCCCCACCCCCCCCCCCCCACCCACACCCCCACCCCAGGTGGTCCTGTCTGCCAGGCATGTTACCTTTGCTATACAAAAAGGTGTTTTTGGCAAGAGTCTTTGCTCAAGTTGTGAAAGCATTTCTAATTTTGTCAGTCTGGACTTGCCTGCATTCACATTCGGAGAAGGCTTTGTCTCTGAATGTTACTTGTGGAAATGCATGTACTCTAAAATTACCACAAACCCAGCAACTTCCCTGAATCTTACTGCCAATTGAGAAGTAGCCAATGCCTCTAGAATAGGTTCAATTCTACATTCCATGGAACAAAAACTTTTAAGAAAAAAATTTCAGATGATAAAAAATGTACTTAAGATTTTTTTAATGGACTTTCCTGTTCTATGTTTTACAGATAGATATTAGCTTTCTCCTGGATGTGAGCTCACTCAGCAGAGCAGACGAGGACCTCAGTATCACAGTGCATGCTACCTGGTATAATTTATCGTTTAAAAAAAAAAAGTACTAGTAGAAATGTACCCCCATATTTTGGGGGGAAAATTAGGAAAACCATGAAACTGTGTTCCATTAATTGTAAGAGAAGACTTCTCTTGCATGGTCTATTTTTTAAAAAACCAAACAACCACAACAAGCTCCTCTATCTAGCATTAGAAGCAAATGATAACAGTTTAAATGCTGAAAGAAATTTTCTGCCAACCTTGTCCTAAAATTTTTTGACTGCCACATCTGCTTTTATCCCCACTCCCCAACGAGCATTTAAACAAACCTCTGAGTATATTAGGTATAGAGGGTATGTAATTAGTTCCCTCTAAAGATGGTTTTTCTGCTTGGTGAATTCTAACAGCGTGTTTTCTATTTGTGTAGTGAAAATGAAGGGGAAGTGGACAATCTGAAGCATAACAGAGTGACTGTAGCAATACCTTTAAAATACGAGGTTACGCTCAGTGTTCATGGGTAAGTAGACAGAAAGGCCTCCTTCCAAATTTAGAGCTGATTTTCAGTTTCATTGCTTCTTACATTAATGAAAAACCTGTATTCTAGATTTTTTAAAGAAAGGATACTATACTGTTTCTCTTAATAATTATCTTGTTGTTATGGTCCTTTGCTTAGCTGTCCATTATAATAATCCACTCTGTAATCATCACTGATACTACACCAAACTAGTGCCCAGCTGGAGGAGATTTCTTACTGCGAGAGCCCCAATAAGCTAGCAAGGCCACAGTGAGACTTCAGTTGTGCACTATGCCATCCATGGACACCTAGAATTAAGCAATGTGCAGCTTGCACAATCATACTCAATGCCCATGTGAAGTCTGAATTTCAGAGAAGTGTGAACTTGCCCAAATCACCATTCTGCAGTCCCATATCTACATATGTGGCAAATAGATTGAGATGTGAGGGATCTGGCTGCAAAGTGTCTCTTGTCCTCTTTTTATAACTGGGATCATCGAGTTCCTCAACCACAGCCCAAGTATCAGAATTCATTGCTTCCTTGTTATTTTAATGATTGAGTTGATCCCCTTCTCATTCAAGGAAATGTGTAGAGAAAGAAAGGGGCTTATGAAAATCTTCAGTAATTCCACTGGAACTTATTCATTCTGCTAGTCTTTAAAACTACATTTTTACACAATAAAATATATGAGTTACAGAACAAATAGACAGATGAGCCTTTACTGTTGCTCTAAATCTAAACCATCCCCCAGTCATTTTATCCACTTAGAAAGGTGATATACAGCCATGTAAATATAAATTGTCAGTGTCTGAAGCTGATGGAATTGAGTGTCAACTTTGTGAGATAAAGCCAACAGGAGGAGGGAAAAAAAGCCATTCACAGGAGAATAAGACCTAGAGAATCACGAGTAAACAAATAAATGTTCATTGCATGTTTTCTGGATATTCAGCTTTTATCTTGCCACTCCTCCTGGCTTATGAAGGCCTTCCTGTTTTTCTGTTACTCACATCTCATTATTTTGAACAAGTGATGTTCACCTATTGAACTGCTAAATCTATGCTATTTAAATTTGATTTCTTTCCTGTTGCATGGGTTTCTAATTTGGGATTACCTAATATTAGCTGCCAAATGTGAGCACCTTATGGAGTGGAGGTCTCCATAGAAACATGTTTCTTAAAGTTTATTGCAGATAAAAATGTTGAATCACAGGCCTAAGGAATGACAGTCTTGTATTCTAACAAAAAATGTATCATACTTAACAGTGTTAGACTTGTTCCCCAGACTTGGGGTTCTTTATAAGCAGCCAGCAGGGATCATGAGATGGAAAGAAATGACTTCAAAATGGGTAGCATAAATTGAGGTATAAGAGCCCTAGGAAAAAGCCAATAATTTATCCCACATTTGCCAAATTTAAATGAATCACTTAAGGGCTGAAAGAGAAGGAATGGTCAGTAGAATGAACAACGTGTAGTGTTGTGAAAGGCAAGAAAAGAATATTAGTGAGGACAGATATTGTCACCCAGGTCAGAGCACATGGCCTTCTAATTTAATTTCTTTTTAAATATAATCTATATATGGCCATAAAACCAAAAGTATTTCATGGTGCCTTGTAAATATGCTATAATCCCATCTATAGAAAAAGACTCTTTATAACACGTCATTGAATAAGACAGTTAATTACATTTGAATTTGTTTCCACCAGGTTTGTAAACCCAACTTCATTTGTGTATGGATCAAATGATGAAAATGAGCCGGAAACGTGCATGGTGGAGAAAATGAACTTAACTTTCCATGTAAGAAAAGCTAATTGTGTGGATATTTGTAAAAACCTAAAAGGATGTCACTGATGCATTTCCCCAAGGGACACTGTACACCTATAATGTCCCTCAGCCTCTGTAGACTATGGCTGGCTGGAGTGGGGCTGCAGCAGGGACACTTCCTGCCTCTCAGACCCCCACTGCTTTCCTTCTACTTATCTTGTCACTGGTATTCAAGCCCATATCCCCCTACTGGACAAGTGAGAAAGAGCATGCAGTAACAGAGATAATGCTTGAAACAGGCAAAGTTATGGGATGAGCTGAATTTGCTAGAGATGTATACAGATAACAGGACAAGCCAATGGAAGGCATCTTTGAGTGCAAATCAGTGAAATTTCTTCTTGGTTCAAACCTTATAAAAGCCTTAACACTACAAAGTAAAGCAGGCTTTCACCGCCCATCTCCATTTAAGGTCACGTGGGTCAGCCTTTCAAGCCATAAGTTTATGACCCGTGATAAGTGCTTTATCAATTATTAAATAACTTTTAAAGTAGAGAGTACTATCATTATTCAGAAGTATTAGGAGACTGATGTAAACCTAAGTTTTTAAAAACATTTTTGGAGAAATGCCAGATGTAGGTGACAGGGGGATGAAGGCAGCAAACCACATTGCCATGTGTGTATCTATGCAGCAATCCTGCATGATCTGCACATATACCCCAGAACCTAAAGTATAATAAAAACAATTTTAATGTCAAACTGATATTTTTGTGGTATCAAAGATGTTGATTAGTAAATAATTTCAAAAATATATATTCTTTGAACCAAAAGCACTGTCCAAGCATTCTTATAGAATAATCTATAGATGTGAATGAATTTTGGATTAGGTGTAATATTTTCTAAGACAATGCTTTTCAAAATGTGTATTAGAATTACTTGGGGTACATATCCAAAATGCAAATTCCTGGGCCTTGCCCCAAATCTGTGGAAAAAGGATGACCTTGAAATCCTATTGATTCTATGTATATAATCCAGTTTTTGTTCACTAGTTAATACTAATGTTGAAAAATTTTAGTCCTCTACTTTTAAGTCCCAAGAAATGCCCTTTAAAACCCAATGGGAGTTTGTGCTTTGATAAACTAAAACAGAAACCAAACTGGGCTCTAGAATGTTTATTAATTTATAATTAAGTATTTTCTACTAAATTTATAATGCAGTGACTGGGACTGGAGAAACTTGCAGTATATAGGATTTCTGTGTCTAGCCAACTATGTAGATTTGTTCTTAGAGGTCTAATTGCTGTTAGGCAAACAGAGATGATTGTAATTTAGATATTTAGTGGTATCGAGAAGACCTTGTCCGTAGTACTGGGCACTGCTAGGTATCTGTTGCTGACATTTCCTTCTGCAGCTGCCCTGTGCTTTTATGGATTAGCATTTACCACCTGTTCCCAATTTAGAGACATTTACTTTCTTCACTATGTCACATGCATTCAAAAAATGACTGCAGGTCTGCCAAGTCTTTTTTAATCGAGGTATTCAGATGCATCTCTTTCTGACTTACTGTGTTGGTTTTATAGTTAAGCTGCCAGTTCAGTAGGCTATATTTTGGCCCCATTTCCTTTTTTAGGAATCTTCAATCCCCAGATTTATCATCCTCATGCATTTTTTGAACAGTATTGTTAAAAACCTGTCGTGCTTTCTCAAAACCCAACAACCTACTCTTTCCTAATTTTCTGAATGTGGTTCCTGAATACAAATACATTTTTATTCACTTTTTCCTGCTGATTATCCTCTCAGCACAGAGTGGTTTTGTGATAGCATCATAGGATTTAAAATTACAATACCTGAGTTTTGGTCATAACTCCTGCCATTTTTAAACTTTTGTCTTGGGAACACTAAGAACACCTGTTAGTATTTTCCTTAGCTGGTGAATAGTAAAATATTGGCCTACCCCATGAAAACCAAATGATCATATTTTTAAAATATGTAACATACAAATGTACATATTGTTTATCTCCTAAGACTGTTTCTCCAATAAACCATCAGCCTATATATTTTTGTCTCAACAATACCAAAACTAGAAGGTTAGAAATAATGACTCATTCGAAATTATTAGCAAACTTTAAAAATTCTGACCGTTGATACCTTAAATTCTAACTGTGGATATCCTGTCTCCCTTTGTTGTGCAGCTGCCAACTATAAACCTCCACCAGTATAAATGTTGCATGGAATATATGGGATCACCTAAAAGCTCATTGATATCTGTACTTACGTTTATAAAAAAATTTAATTTGTTAAAATTTTTTCCTTATTATCAGGTTATCAACACTGGCAATAGCATGGCTCCCAATGTTAGTGTGGAAATAATGGTACCAAATTCTTTTAGCCCCCAACCTGATAAGCTGTTCAACATTTTGGATGTCCAGGTAAAAAATTTATTTCTTCCACCTAACCTTTATTATGTGTCTTAAATACTAAAATAAATGCAAACCAGTTCTTTATTCAAGTAATGATGCTGAAATGGATAATTGTTATCTTCAGTCACACTCTAAGCTATGAATTCACATGCATTTATTAAGTTATGCTTTGAATATTATACATTTCATTAGAACTACAGAATTACAGTGTGACTTTTACATTTGACTTATACAATAACAATTATGTTCTACCATCTCCATTGAATAATTATTTTAAGAGTCATTTTTGTGTGATATGGACCTGTAGAAGTAACTTGATTGGTAGAATTCTTCACAGAACTTGAAATCACTATTCAAAGATGAAGATTATAGCCTTTTTTTTAAGGGAGCATTATTCAAACCAGTTCTTAAGAACCAATATTTTTGCACTGATGATTCCATCAGCATTGTTTTGAGCTTGTCAGCTTGAAGACAAGTCAACACATCTACTAAATAGGTTTGAGGTGTGATTTTTGAAAATCTTAAATTCCAGATTTAGAGAGAAGGATATGGTGTTACGCTGTTTTGCCTATAAAGACAAATAAATATTTAGTTTCATGCTAATGTTCTGATACCATTTTTCACATTTCTGTAAGGTTAAGGTCATTTTATCAGCTTAGAACCTCTATCCAACCCTCTGTAATTGGGCTGGGTTTTTGTGTTTTTGACACAGACATTTAATCACTCCCAAATATGTCAAAAAATTCCACAATTTCAGAAGTACTTGATGTATTTTAGTAAAGATAAGCTATTGGAACTTTTAAAACCATGTTGCTTTTTGCTGTTTTTTTTTCCCCCAATGTTGAAAGATAATATTTCTCTTGCTTTCTATCTTCATAGACTACTACTGGAGAATGCCACTTTGAAAATTATCAAAGAGAATGTGCATTAGAGCAGCAACAAAGTACAATGCAGGCCTTGAAAGGCATATTCCAGTTCTTTTCCAAGACTGATAAGAGGCTATTGGTAAGTCTCAACTTTTTAGGTTGTAGCTCTTGCTTTTCGACAGAGAAGTGAGACACTTAAAATCAACTCAACGGGTTTGAGCAGTCACTCCAATGATAAGAGAGAAGACAAGTTTAGTTAGTATTCTTGCATGAAAGGAACAAACACAATTGAAGAGTTGAGATAGACCCAGGGTCTATCCCTTATATAAATATGTTGGCTGGGTGCAGTGGCTCATGCCTGTAATCCCAGCACTTTGGAAGGCCAAGGTGGGGTGATCACAAGGTCAGGAGTTTGAGACCAGCCTGGCTAATATGGTGAAACCCTGTCTCTACTAAAAGTACAAAAATCAGTCGAGTGTGGTGGCAGGTGCCTGCAATCCCAGCTACTCGGGAGGTGGAGGTTGTAGTGAGCCGAGATTGCATTGCTGCACTCCAGCCTGGGTGACAGAGCAAGACTCCATCTCAGAAAAATAAATAAATACACACACATACACACACACACACACACACACACACACGTTATACATTATACAGTTTCATTTTTTATCTAACAAATGCTCACTACTTGCCAACAAGACATTGTTCCAGACCCTTGGGAAACCTTCGTGGCATGAGAATTTTCATTCTTTTCATCTTAGTGACTTTATGGAAAGAAACTGGATAAGCAATCATCACCTTAAAATGACCCATGTTTACAACAAACATAGAATATGTAACTTAGGAAGACTCTGATTAGGAACCTTTTTAAAAAAAATTCTGTCCCAGAAGGTTTTTAATACAAATAAGAACATATTCTCCAGTTTAAATACTTTAATTTACAAAACAAACATTCATGTCTTGTTTAAAGATAATTTTTAAATGCCACTAAGGAAAGCAGATGTTTAATTTCATATTTATAGAAAGATAATTTTCAAAATGCTATTAGAGTATATATTAAATTCTATGTAAAATATTTTCCAATGTTGAAAATTTTAATGTACCCCTTTAATATTCCTTTCAAGTACTGCATAAAAGCTGATCCACATTGTTTAAATTTCCTGTGTAATTTTGGGAAAATGGAAAGTGGAAAAGAAGCCAGTGTTCATATCCAGTTGGAAGGCCGGCCATCCATTTTAGAAATGGTAAGTCTAAAATACATTGACAACTTGGTTCAGTCATACAGGCAGGATACTTTGAAGGCATTCAACAAATTAAGGTTTAAATAAAATTTTGGAGTAAAACTCTAAAACTATTTCTAACACTTCAATTAGCTACACTGAATAAGTAGAATGGCTTTAGTAATTAACAGGTAATAAAGACTAAAATAGGCCAGGCACAATGGCTCACACTTGTAATCCCAGCACTTTGAGAGGAGAATCACTGGAGGGCAGGGGTTCAAGACCAGCCTGGCTAACACGGTGAAACCCTGTCCCTACCAAAAATACAAAAAATTAGCCAGGTGTAGTGGCCTGTGCCTATAGTTCCAGCTACTCCAGAGGCTGAGGGATGAGAATCACTTGGAGGCTGAGGCTGCAGTGAGCCAAGATCATGCCACTGCACTCCAGTCAGGGCAACAGAGTGATACTCTGTCTCGAAAAAAAAAGGACTAAAATAGACTATGGAAAAATTAAAATGTTTATTTTAGAAAGCATGCACAACTGCCTATGAACTTTATTAAATTAAATAAATTGACTGCCTTACATTTCATATACCTTTAAATTATTTTCAAATTGCTTCAAACTATCTTTAAAATCTAATGTGTATATATACATACATGTTTTAAGCTCTGGGATACATGTGCAGAATGTGCACGTTTGTTACATAGGTATATATGTGCCATGGTGGTTTGCTGTGCCTATCAGTCATCTTGGTTTTAATCCCTACATGCATTAGGTATTTGTCCTAATGCTATCCCTCCCCTCACCACCCCCCCACTCCCCAACAGGTCCGGGTGTGTGATGTTCCCCTACCTGTATCCATATGTTCTCATTGTTCAACTCCCACTTAGGAATGAGAACATGCAGTGGTTTTCTGTTCCTGTGTTAGTTTGCTGAGAATGTTGGCTCCCAGCTTCATCCATGTCCCTGCAAAGGATATAAACTCATTCTTTTTTACAGATGCATAGTATTCCATGGTGTATATGTGCCACATTTTCTTTCTCAAGTCTGTTGCTGATGGGCATTTGGGCTGGTTCCAAGTCTTTGCTATTGTGAACAGTGCCGCAATAAACATACATGTGCATGTGTCTTTATAGTAGAATGATTTATAATCCTTTGGGTATATACCCAGTAATGGGATTGCCAGGTCAAATGGTTATTTCTGGTTCTAGATCCTTGAGGAATTGCCACACTGTCTTGCACAATAGTTGAACTAATGTACACTAACACCAACAGTGTAGTGTTCCTATTTCTCCACAGCCTCACCAGCATCTGTTTCCTGACTTTTTAATAATCACCATTCTAACTGGCATGAGGTAGTGTTTCATTATGGTTTTGATGTGCATTTCTCTAAGACAAGTGATGAGTGTTTTTTCATGTTTTTTGGCCACATAAATATCTTCTTTTGAGATGTGTCTGTTCATATTCTTCACCCACTTTTTGATGTTTTTTTTTTCCTTGTAAATTTAAGTTCCTGTAGATTCGGGATATTAGATCTTTGTGGGATGGGTAGATTGCAAAAATGTTCTCTCAGGTTGCCTGTTCACTCTGATACTTTCTTTTGCTGTGCAGAAGCCTTTTAATTATATCACATTTATCAATGTTGGCTTTTGTTGCAGTTGCTTTTGGTGTTGTAGGCATGAAGTTTTTAACCATGTCCTGAATGGTATTGCCTAGGTTTTCTTCTAGGGTTTTTACGGTTTTGGGTTTTACATTTTAGTCTTTAATTTATCTTGAGTTAATTTTTGTAGAAGGAAGGGTCCAGTTCCTGTTTTCTGCATATGGCTAGCCAGTTTTCTTAGCACCATTTATTAAATAGGTAATCCTTTCCCCACTGCTTGTTTTTGTCAGGTTTATAGAAGATCAGATGGTTGTAGATGATGTATGGTGTTATTTCTGAGGTCTCTATTCTGTTCCATTGGTCTATATATCTGTTTTGGTACTAGTATCATGCTGTTTTGGTTACGGTAGCCTGGTAGGATAGTTTGAAGTCATGTAGCGTGAGGCCTTCAGCTTTATTTTTGCTTAGGATTTTCTTGGCTATACAGGCTCTTTATTGGTTCCATATGAATTTAAAGTGTTTTTTTTTTCTAATTCTGTGAAGAAAGTCTATGGTAGCTTGATGGAATAGCATTGAATCTCTAAATTACTTTGGGCATTATGGCCATTTTCACCAGGCTGATTCTTCCTATCCATGAGCATGCAATGTTATTCCATTTGTTTGTGTCCTCTCTTATTTCCTTGAGCAGTGGTTTGTAGTTCTCCTTGAAGAGTTCTTCACATCCCTTGTAAGTTGTATTCCTAGGTATTTTATTCTCTTCGTAGCAATTGTGAATGGGAATTCACTCATGATTTGACTGCTTTTCTATTGTTGGTACATAGGAATGCTTGTGATTTTTGCACATTGATTTTGTATCTTGAGACTTTGCTGAAGTTGCTTGTCAGCTTAAGGAGTTTTGGGGCTGAGACTATGGAGTTTTCTAAATATACAATCATGTCATGTGCAAACAGACAATTTGACTTCTCTATTTGAATACACTTTTTTTTTTTTTTTTTTGGGGGGGGGGGGGGGGACGGAGTTTCGCTCTTGTTACCCAGGCTGGAGTGCAATGGCGCGATCTCGGCTCACCGCAACCTCCGCCTCCTGGGTTCAGGCAATTCTCCTGCCCCAGCCTCCTGAGTCGCTGGGATTACAGGCACGCGCCACCATGCCCAGCTAATTTTTTGTATTTTTAGTAGAGACGGGGTTTCACCATGTTGACCAGGATGGTCTCGATCTCTTGACCTCGTGATCCACCCGCCTCGGCCTCCCACAGTGCTGGGATTACAGGCTTGAGCCACCGCGCCCGGCCTTGAATACACTTTCTTTCTCTTGCCTGATTGCCCTGGACGGAATGTTCAATTCTATGTTGAATAGGAGTGATAAGAGGGCATCCTCATCTTGTGCTGGTTTTCAAAGGGAATGCTTCCAGTTTTTGCCCATTCAGTATGATGTTGGCTATGTTTGTCATAAATAGCTTATTATTTTGAGATATGTTCCATCAATACCTAGTTTATTGAGAGTTTTTAGGATGATGGGATGTTGAATTTTATTGAAGGTCTTTTATTTTAAAAATATATCTAAGAAGAAAAACTAAAGCTTTCATGAAATCATCAACAAAAACATTTCAGTTTTAAAAATAATAAATATTGGACTTCTTCCTAGAAAGGAGCATGTATATTTGAGGAATAGCTTGAGATAAAACTAACATTATCTGGAGTTTTGCTTTTCAGCTTCCTCATCTGTTCAATATGAATAAAGGAGATGATTTTTATAAGCACTCAGTAATAGTTTATGGCACAAAGGAGGCCAAAGGAAGTAGCAGCTGTTATGTTTAAAGTGGGATTTTTGAAATTACCAAACAGTGGTTAAGATGAAGATACACTAGACAGACAAAGAAGAAATATCCATTCTAGTTTCAACTGTGCTAAAAGTGAAGTCTTTAGACCATCAGGAAATAATTTAACCTTTAGCAATTTACCTTCTCTTTCTCTCTAGGTCTAGGCTTCCCCTCAGTGGCCATAAGTGGCATTTTGGACCAGATATTGTTTTTGTCAGGGGCTATCGTGTGCATTGTAGGATATTTGTTAGCATCCTCAGCCTCTGCACACTCACTGCTGGTAGTACCACCTCTCACATTCTGACACTTGACAATCTCTTCAGACATTCCTAACTGTCCCTTAGGTGATAAAATCCTCCCTGCTGAGAACCATTGCTCTAGCTCTGTATGAAGCTTGTCATTTATTTTCAGCTTTAAAATGTTAAATCACATTTGCACAGTAGTTTTAAAGGTCATATCCCTCTTAAAGAATCTGAATAAAGAATATATTCTCATCTCCCTCAGCAAATGCAGACATGAAAACATATCCTGAAGATTCTTAGAACTTGTAAGGCACATCCACAGATTTCCAAGCTCCATGGATTTGGTGTTTTAAAGTCCTTGCTTTAGATAGTAAAGTTCTGAGTTCATCCACTGATTTTATATTTGAATTCTATATATGTATTTAATGTAGAAAGAAAGAAAAAACCCAAACAAGATAGATTCAATATGCGGTGGCAGGGTGGAGAACATTGGTAACTAGTAACTTGCAGGGTAGCTATGTTTAACCAAAGGATTTCAATGAAATAATACAATATAAATTAATACCAAGACCATACTTTGGGAACCAAAGGAAGCACTGCAGTTAATTTTAAGTATTGAAGTAAATTGGGGAAGATAAATTGTGGAAACCTCTAATAGAAGGTAAAGATCCTGATAAATTATTTCTATTAATAGTCTTCATGAAATAAATCAGGCTATGGTGATCTATTATTAAACAGGATGAGACTTCAGCACTCAAGTTTGAAATAAAAGCAACAGCTTTTCCAGAGCCAAATCCAAGAGTTATTGAACTAAACAAGGATGAGAACGTTGCGCATGTAAGATTACCCTCTTAACTGCTACATTAAAATTATAGGAAAACACATTTCAAGGGTATCTGTCTATAATTATTTGCTTTTGAGTAACTGAGTTGGGAAAGTAGAGTGTGACCAGCTCATGGAGGGCCTTCAATGCTTGATTGAGAGTTGGGATTTTCCACAACTGGCAGGAGGGAATGATACAGCAGTTCTTTGAGAGGTGAACTGGGCAGCAGTGAGTATTGGATAGATTGGAGGAAAAGTCATGGATAGAGCCCATCATACTCACTGTTTCTGCTAAACAGTTACCAGTGTTTCCTGTGGCTATATTAGAACCAGCAAGAAAATGGGGTGGGAGGTTCTAAATATTATTGGGGATTATGGCAAGGCTTTAAAGGAAACATAAGCAAGTTTTTAAACTGTCGGGGTTTTTTTGCTTTTTAAGTTTTTTCTTAATTCATGTAGGTTCTACTGGAAGGACTACATCATCAAAGACCCAAACGTCATTTCACCATAGTGATTATTTCAAGTAGCTTGCTACTTGGACTTATTGTACTTTTATTGATCTCGTATGTTATGTGGAAGGTAAGCTTTTAAGAATTACCGGCATTAAACTACTCAAAGTGACATTATTTTCTCAAAGCCAGTTTCTGGCTTCCAAGTTAAATATTTCAGTATTTTAATGCTAATTTTTTATGTTGCTCAGTACTGATCTCACATTTCTCTTCGACACCAAAGTCTTTCTAGAAAAATATGCCTTCTTAATTTGTTTTGAAAGATGTTCCTTTTAAAAGACTGCAAATTACATTGAATATCAATTTTGGAAGGAATGTGGCATATATCACTAAGAATTTCTGCATTAAAAACAAATGCTTTTTTAACCCAGTATGTCCGCAACTAATTACCTGTTAAAAAACCTTTATGATGTTATAAGGGACACAATTTAAGAAATATTGGTGTTAACTGCTTAGATATTAGAAATGAGTATAGTAGATAAGAGTGTTCATAACTATACACTAGTGATTATGTAATGCTACTTTTCAGGCCGGCTTCTTTAAAAGACAATACAAATCTATCCTACAAGAAGAAAACAGAAGAAACAGTTGGAGTTACATCAACAGTAAAAGCAATGATGATGATTAAAGACTTCTTTCAAATTGAGAGAATGGAAAACAGACTCAGGTTGTAGTTAAGAAATTTAAGACTGTTTACAAGAAAACATGAATTTTTCTTGGGCTTATTTTACTCATGATCTTGTGACATACTATGTCTTCATGCAAGGGGAAAATCTTAGCAATGATTACTCTTTGAGAAAGAAGAACTGCCAAGGTAATAATAGAGCCAAAGATAATCTCTCAGCTTTTCAATGGGTAGAAAAACACTAAAGCATTCAATTTATTCAAGAAAACTAAACCCTTGAAGATATCCTGAAAGTGTATCTGAGTTGAATCATATTGGAGATGTCTTAGACTTGAAATATTTTTCCTTTCAAAGAAATACTACTTACCATATGTGGTTGCCTTGGTAAGAGGTTCATTTCAAATATATCTTTGAGACTTGTTCAAAATATGTTCTTTAAAAATATTTTGTAGAATTTTTTAAAGAGCTGTTCCCAAATTTTCTAATGAGTGGAAGTAGACCATTATCACTTTAAAGCCTTTTATTTATAATACATTTCCTATGGGCTTAGCTCTAACCATTTTTTTTTTTAGCAGAGTATGAATATTATAGGCCTAATGGGCAATATTCAGACTGAACTTGTACACTGGTGTGAGCTTAATGAAATGACTTCTAGATAATTATTTTTTATACAGCTATGGATTTCCCCATCTTTCTGTATATATAATGTGTGTTTATGTAAATATATATTATGCTTCCTATAACACACCTTTATCAAGCATACCCAGGAGTAAATAGTTAAGAACCATCTTCAAATGTTTTGTTATTTAAAAAAGGTACGTAAATATTCAAATTTATATGCTGAAACAAAAGATTGTGAGTGTTGCACTTTAGCTAATATACACTGATTTAAAAAATATGGAAAATTTACCTCACCAATAACTTTTTAAAAATCAAAATGGTGCAAAGACTAAGTAGGGGGTCTATACTTTATACATGTACTGTGTAAAATACTGACTATCACACAAATATTTGCTTGGATGTTATGGTTTGTTACTCTTTTCAAATGTAAGTGTTCCCTTGCATGGAAATGGAGAAACAAAATTCATAAATTTAGCTGAAAGATGCTGATTCAATTTGTAGACAATGAATACAAATGAGACATCAAAATTTCCATGAACTGTTAAGTGACAGCTAAAGTATTTTTATAGTTTGTTGGTATTCTATGAAGTTCTATTTTTTAAATGAAATAACTTTCTGGATTTTAAATAATTTAAATACCTTTCATTTGCAAATACAATCATTTTTGTAATATTTATTTTATGCTTATGAGCTAGATAATTGCAGAATATAATTTTATCTGTCTTCCTAAGAAAGCTGTGGCTGAATTCTGAATATCTGTTATTAGAGAGCAGTCTTTACAATTTTGGAAAAGATTTCTAGATGAAATCTCTGCAACTAGCCATCCTAATTGATAAAAGTTATGTGTTCACAGGCCTGCATGATGGTGAGGAATGTTCTGAGATTTGTGAAGGCATTTGAGTAGTGAAATGCAAGCACCAAACCTCCTGAATGTGTATACACAGGAATAAACTTTGTGACATTTATGTATTTTTGAAAACGGTCTTTGTGCAAAAGATATATTTTTAGCCCTCTAAAGAATCCAGTCATTCTTTCAGGAGAATGTCTTAGGATCATAGATGAGAAATCAAGCCCCAATTCAGAACTGCCTTCTCTAGAAATTTAAATTTGGTTATTATTTCCTACTCAGAAATGACTATTATTTGAGCACATTGAAAGCAGCATGCTATGATTGTCCAACACAGGCCCCCCAATATAAGAGAAATGCAACTAGGTATTTGGCTAAATTTTGCCCAATACAAAAAAAATTTAAGAAGACAGGGATTTTTTTTTGGCAGGTAGTCTATATATGACTGTGATTTTGAAATTTAACTGCTCTGGATTAGGAATCAGTAAAATCAGGGCAGACAATTAATGGGCTCAAATCCTGAAAAATGAAAGTATCCAAATTATTTCATTTAAATTGATATATCATGATGTTGCCTAAGTTTTTTTGTGCATCCAATAAACATTATAAAAACCAAAATTGGAATTGATATTTCATCTTGACTTTTAAAACCGTAGAGACTAATTGTTAGTAACATCAAAAATAGCAATTGCTATTAGGATATCTGTTTAAAGCAGGGATCTCCAACTGGCCACACAGCAAGAGGTTGGAGCAGTTGAGTATTACTGCCTGAGTTCCACCTCCTGTCAGAGCAGCAGCAGCATTAGATTCTCATAGGTGTGTGAATACTATTGTGAACTGGTTTGTGAGGGATCTAGGGTGCCATATTCCTTATAGGAATTTAATGCCTGATGATCTGAGGTGGAACAGTTTCATACTGAAACCATTCCCTGGTATCAAAAAGGGTGAGGACCACAGGTTTAAAGAATGGCCATATTTCTTGATATTAAACTTCTAGTTTGCACATTACCTTTAGAAACAATTACAGGTGACTTTGGAATCATTTACTTCTTCCATGCTTCCTCCATAAAGACTGATAAGTCTTGGATGCAATCTATAAAGAAAATATGTATAATTCATTATTTCATCAACTTATTTGTTATACTATGCCAAATACAAATTGATAAAAAACATAGAATTCATGACAGAGCTGTAATCTAGAAAACTGAGAGGCTCTAATAAATCAACAGCAGTAATTACTTTAAAGCGTCCTTAGCTAACTTCCTTGATTGTCTAATGTTCTCCACTGCCTCTGTAAAACAATAACTACCAAGGATGAGTCTGCAGGTTCCTAAACCTGTTTATACCAGTTGCTCACTAATATGTAAAACTGTTCCTATGTAAAGGAAGTTGAATTCTTCATAAACACCTAATAAAAGCAAATTTCTGAACAAAAAGTGTTACAGTAATTGAGTGAGAGGAAACTACAAGACTGAAGGATTAAAATCTAACACTCTACTACTCAGATGGCTCCACTAAAAGGTTTAAGATCTTGATTCATTTTTAAAAATCTAAAATGGAAGTTATAGACATTATAGTTTATGTACAATAAAAAATCAGAAAGCCAATTTAGACACACATAATCAAAACAAATGCCTTGGCTCTACATGACAATTGGTGAATAAATGTAAAGTTACTTTTTTTAATTGAAATTTGTGCATGTCTCTTTTTATGCTTCCCTGATCTTCTGATGTTTTAAAAAACCAACCAACTGCCTGCTTTGATAATTGAGAGAAGAGAGCTTTCATTGTACCAAAAGATTTACATTTACTGGTTGACATATAAAGCAGTGAAATAATTAGACTTACCTAATATGGACCTCTGATGAAACTTCCATTAAATCGCCATCTACATTCCAAGGGAACCCATTTTCTGAAGCAGTTTCATCCTCCTCCTCTGGATTATATCCACTGGTATTGTTTCTTGGATGAACTTTTACTTCCTCAACAGTGTAAGTCTCAACAAATGGAAAATTAAACTAAAAATAAATACAAATAATCATGATACTTGCTTTATCTCTAGCTACTAACACAAATCGAAGCTCACTGCACCCTCTCTCACAAATAAATATGAACATGCATGCTGACATTTTTATAGCTTTGAGACTATGAACAGGGATCTCTACTTTCTTTGAAAGAACGAATCTCTTATCCGAAGTCTTTTGGCTTCTTTTAGATCAAGCATCTAGAAATCTTTTATGACAAGTATTTGTCAGAAAACAAGATTTGTCTTCCAAAAAAAGTGGAGATCTATAAGAAGTTGCATATAATAATGATATTGTAGGTTTTTCAATTAAAGATCATCTTTAATAATGGCCTGTAGATACAGAAGGCATAATCTGTAGAGTTTTCAATTTGTCAATTAGTTTAGCCAACATAAAGCAAACTAATGCAAGTTTCACACTTGGAATTTAATTTGGAAGAACGTAGGTGTAAACTTCTGAAGATAAAATTGGAAGTACATCTTCTTTTAAAAGAGAGTGGAACAGAATAGAGGCCTCAGAGGCAACACTACACATCTACAACCATCTGATCTTTGACAAAAACAAGCAATGGGGAAAGGATTCCCTGTTTAATAAATGGTGTTGGGAAAACTGGCAGCCATGTGCACGAAGCAGAAACTGGACCCCTTCCTGACACCTTACACTAAAATTAACTCCAGATGGATTAAAGACTTAAACATAAGACCTAACACCATAAAAACCGTAGAAGAAAATCTAGGCAAAACCATTCAGGACATAGGCATAGGCAAGGACTTCATGACCAAAACACCAAAAGCATTGGCAACAAAAGCCAAAATAGGCAAGTAGGACCTAATCAAACTCCACAGCTTCTGCACAGCAAAAGAAACAGTCATTAGAGTGAATCGGCAAGCAACAGAATGTGAAAAAATTTTTGCAGTTTACACATCTGACAAAGGGCTGATATCCAGAATCTACAAAGAACTGAAACAGATTTACAAGAGGAAAAGCAAGCTCATTCAAAAGTGGGCAAAGGATACAAACAGACACATTACAAAAGAAGACATTGATGAGACCAACAAACATATGAAATAATGCTCATCATCACTGGTCATCAGAGAAATGCAAATCAAAACTACATTGAGATACCATCTCATGCCAGTTAGAATGGCGATCATTAAAAAATCTGGAGACAACAGATGCTGGAGAGGATGTGGAGAAATAGGAACACTTTTGCACTGTTGGTGGGAGTGTAAATAATTAGTTCAACCAATGTGGAAGACAGTGTGGCAATGCCTCAAGGACCTAGAAATAGAAATTCCATTTGACCCAGCAATCCTATTACTGGGTATATATCCAAAGGATTATAAATCATTCTACTATAACGACACATGCACACGAATGTTCGCTGCAGCACTGTTTACAATAGCAAAGACCTGGAACCAACCCAAATGCCCATCAATGATAGACTGGACAGGGAAAATGTGGCACATATATACCATGGAATACTATGCAGCCATCAAAAACAATGAGTTCATGTCCTTTGTAGGGACATGGATGAACCTGGAAATCATCATTCTCATCAAAGTGACACAAGAACAGAAAATCAAACACCGCATGTTTTCACTCATAGGCGGGTGTTGAACAATGAGAACACATGGACACAGGGAGGGGAGCATTACACACTGGGGTCTGTCAGGGGGAAATAGGGGAGGGGGAAATAGGGGAGGGACAGTGGGGGATTGGGAGTTGGGGAGAGATAGCATGGGGAGAAATGCCAGTTATAGGTGATGGGGAAGAAGGCAGCAAATCACACTGCCATGTGTGTACCTATGTAACAATCTTGCATGTTCTTCACATGTACCGCAAAACCTAAAATGCAATTAAAAAAAATAAAAGAGAAAGCCAATCAAATATGGATTTTAACAGCTGTTTACTTGCCCCATTCCTACTTAACAATGAACACAAGTTGCAAGATCAATGTTTACTTACTGATCGCTATAGAATGGTGCAAGGTAAACTTCAACTTGCATTTTTTTCTTGTTTGCCTAAGGAAACTATACTGAAAAAGCACTGTGATTTTCTGAAACAAAATATAACCAAATCACTTTAGTGGAAATACTCATTTCAGTTTTCAGATAAACGACAGGAGATATATTCCTAATTAAATATCATCTGCATACCTTTTCCCCCTTTTCCACTTATAAACCTCAATGAAACACATAGTTTTAAAAGTTGACAGAAACCTAATATTTTTCCCAATACCCATATTTTACATATGTAGATATCAAGGTCCAACAGACTTTCCAGTTTATACTGTATAGTAAACACAGCGTCAGCTGTTGTGACTGAGGTACTGAATTAGAGGGCCCCAAGCAAAACTGTTTGACAGTTACTGCATTAGGCCTCCCACCTCCAGTGTAAAGCCGTGGCTACATGCCTCATCCATGTAGAATCATCTGCATAATCATTCATGTTAGAGATTGTGTTTTAAATATGTTAACAACTGGCTGTTATGGGCTAAATTATATTCCCCCCAAACTATGTTCAAGTCCTAACCCCTGGTAAGTGTGAATGTCACCTGTTTAGAAGTAAGGTCTTTGCAGATATATGAAGATGAAGTCATTAGGGTGGGCCCTAATCCGCTATGACTGATGTCCTTATGAGAGAAGAGTGCCAAGATGGCAGAGACTGGAGTGACGCAGCTGCAAGCCAAGCAATGCCAAGAACTGACAGCCATCACCAGTAAGTCTGTTATCTTAAATCAGCAGTTGTCATGTGCACACCTCACAAAACGAAGGTCTAGCCATCCTTCAAATGCTTTAACTGTGAAGCTACAGACATTGTTAAGTGGGACTTTAGGGAGCCAACAGTTTAGCATCAAGTGTGAGGGTATGTTTGGGGCATGGGGAGGAGAAGTAAACAGTTCCAATTGTGAAACAGGGAAGTGCCGTGATGGTGCAAGCGTGTTCAATGCAGGAAACAAGCAAACAGGCTCCGGATGTTGGGAAAACTTTCCATTTGAATTGAGTGTTAAAGAACATGGAAGATTTAGCCTAGAGAAGAAAGTCTGAAGAGACAAAGCATTTACAAAATGCGAGGTATGCCATAGTCAAGCAACTACACAGAATTCAGTGTGACTCCTATGGGTGAATCATGCCCCTTGGCCCTCAAGTTCCTGTGTTGAAATCCTTACCCTCTATGCCTCCGAATGTAACTGTATTTGGAGATAAGATGTTTAAAGAGGTGATTAAGCTAAAATGATGTCTTTAGGCCCTCACCTAATGATAGGTGTCCTTATAACAAGAGGAAATTTGGACATAGAAAAAGGCATCGGGGATGCACAGAGGAAAGACCACTCACTTGTGGGTGCAGTGAGAAAGCAGCCATGTGCCAGCCAGAGAGAGAAGACTCGGGAGAAACCAAACCTGCGGCCATCATCTTGCAGCTCTGGCCTCCAGAGCCATGAAAGAAATACATTTCTGTTGTTTAAGCCATCTTTTCTGTCGTATTTGTTATGGCAACCCTAGCCAATGAATACAATGCCAAAACACTGGGAATGTGGTGGAGAGTGGTAATAAGAGGTGGGGTTGCAACACAGACAGGGACCTTAATACAAAGGCCCCTTGTTCCAGACTGAGAAAATTCCATATTGTTCTGTCAATAAGAGAAAGGCAGTGAAGAATTAAGCAGAAGAGAAATCCAATTTATGTCTTAGAAAAGTTTCTCTAAAAGGAGGTATAGAAGACAAGACCAGTGAACCTGAAGGCCAAAAGGCATCTACTGCAAGAAAGGATTAAAGTTTGAATCAAGGTGAGAGAGAAATTTTAGAAACATTTATGAAGAGACCAATAGAACAAGTTAGGGGACTGGTAGTGAGGAATGAAGAAGAGGGAGGAGTCCAGGGTGACCTGGATGGGTAGAAGCTGGTGCCACTAACCCATACAGAGCAACACAGAAGGGGCAATGGTAGGGGAAAATGTCAGCTGTGGACACGTTGGCCTCAAGGTGCCAGTGAGTTTTAGAACCTCTGTGGCATACAGGAAGCCAAAGAGGTCCTGCAGATAAGACGAGATGACAGAACCCTTGAGAGTACAGGTATTGATCGACTTACAACCTATGCAACTTATGACCATTCGACTTTACAACCACAATCACTAGCCACGACTGCTCTGCGTCTGGCAGAGCAAACGTTGCCCAGTTAGGCGTACAACAGTGCGGACCAACTTCCGGCAGCACTACCATCTCCGCGTGCACCATTTCAACTGTACATATAGCGTACTCAACTTACGACCAAATCGTGTTACGACCAGTTTGCCGGTCCCCATCATGGTCGTAAGTCGAGCACTAGCTGTACATGATGCTTAGATAGTTCAAAAGTGAGGGGCAATGAGACCATTCAGGAGAGGGTATCCTGAGAAGACAAGGGGGCTGCAAACAAATTCCTGGGAAGCACTCACATTTAAGGTTTTAAACTCCCTACCAAAAACGGTCACAATGAAAGAGAAAAGTGTGGACAGTGAGGGTGGGCAAAGCAATAGGATGGAGCGAGGACTCTGAAGGATAGTGTTCACCCTCTATCTAATTTCACACAGAGATGAAGAAGGCAGCAAGAGCCACCCCGGACATGGTGGTTTCAACCTGTTTTACAGTGTTATACAGTAACATTCACTTATTCAACCTGGTAAACATGGTTCAGAGAAACAGATGTTACCCTCCCTAAACTGAATTGCCACATTTCCCTTTCAGAATAGCAGCACTGCTACAAATTATGCAGTAGATATGATTTTACATAGATATGACTGTCATAATCTTACAAATATAAATTCACATTTTTAATGTCACCATGAAGGAAAGAGCCTAAATACACACACCTGTGTGGATAACTAATGAATCAAATTAACATTGCTTGAAAACAGTCTCCCTGGAAATCAATCTGATTATTCTTACTATATACACTATACAAAATATTTTAGAATTTTTATTTGCAAAAAATAAAAGCAATATGGATTTTACTTTTTGAAAGTTGATAAATAAATCAGAGTTAAGGCTAGTGAATCTCACACAGGCAACAGTTTCTTGTATCAAAAGCAAGATATGCCTGGTAGACTATATGAGAAAATATGATATATCCTGTATAACATTATCTCTTTTAGAAGACATTTTTTTTTTCTTTTTATTTTGTGAGACAGAGTCTCACTCTGTCACCAGGCTGGAGTACAATGGCACCATTTCTGCTCACTGCCGCCTCCACAACCCGGGTTCAGGTGATTCTCCTGACTCTGCCTCCCAAGTAGCTAGGACTACACGCACGTGCCAGCACGTCCAGCTAATTTTTGTATTTTTTAGTAGAGACTGGGTTTCACCATGTTGACCAGGTTGTTCTCGATCTCTTGACCTCATGATCTGCCCACCTCGGTGTCCCAAAGTGCTGGGATTACAGGCATGAGCCACGGTGCCTGGCCTAGAAAACATCTTCTTATTGATACAGATTTTTGTTATTTTCTGTATATCTGTCCTTATGTTTAAGGTAATCATTGTTTTTAAAATCAGAAGAAAGGTATATTAACTTTAAAAAGAAAAAAAAAATGTTTACAAAAGAAACTTGCCCCATGGGCAATTTCAAAAGAGACCTTCCATAAACAATTTGTGCAACACACACCTCCCTAACATAATTTCTCAGGGATACATTAATGGGTTAATACTCACTTAAGTTCTCAAATAGGGGTATATGAAGAGGTTAATACTCACTGAACTTCTCATTTAATAGAAAAGGATTCAGAAAAAAATTCTACGAAGGTAAGGATACTTATCTCAAGGAACACGGAATTTTGAGTGCTTTAAATTATTTTCTTGTTTCTGTTTTCTGCCTTAAAAACAGCAAGGAATATATACTGCTTTGGGTGTTTAAAAAATTGGCTTTAATGTTTAGAAATTTAGTAAAATACAAAAAGGTATATATTCCTTTGAAAAATAATAAATCTGCATATTCCCCCCAAACACACATAAAGTCGTTATATAGGCTCACAACCTACATTATATCTGCTGATCTACTTTGACATATAAGGAAAGTGAGACTGTATCTAATTTTTTTTTATGATTTAAGTTCCTAAACAGCCTAGTTAGTTGTTCAATACATGAGGATCAAATAATGTTATAGACAGATCAAACTTCTTAAGAATGGCCTAAGAAAGTCTGAAATTATAATGAGGCAAAAATGGAGACCCTCGCAATGGCTAAGGTACATAAGCAAGGTTCAGCTGCCAGTCACTGGCTGAGTTTACTCTCCTCCTCCTCCCATCTGTTCTCTCCCAACTACATCCAAGCACCATTTAAAACCTCTAAGAATGTGTGAAACTATAGGGTTTTACAACCATACCCATGTACTTCAAAGACTCACAATTTCAGAAATTCACATATTTCTAGGATCATTTTCCTAATAATTAGGTCAAAATGTCTGCCAAAATTATATGGCTTGTAATAGTTACTGTTTGTTTCTCTTAAAAGCAAATCATTTAATTAGAAATATATATCTTCACACATTCTCGTAAATAAATATCAGTATAAAAGGGTTACATTTTTAAATACATAAAATCTATTTCAATCAATGAGCATAGGCAGATATGCAAACAGATGTCAGGAAAATCTAAAGATTGTAACTTTAGAGAGTCTGCCACCATAATATCAAGAAGGCTAAACTCTCAAATTTCACTTTTCATTCTGAAGAATGGCCTGAGTATGTAATTTTATCCGTAATTTATTTCACATTGCAACATAACACTACATTTTCAATTTTATCTTTGTGGTTACATATACATCACCACTAACATAACCACTAACGCATCGTTCGAAAAGGGGCAATCCATATTAGTACCGGTATATGCTTTTCAAAATTTGGATGAAACAGATCAGAAAAAAAGATTAATATATTCAGCAGAAAATAAGGTCTTCTTATGAGGCAGGACTCGATGTCAACTCTTGCAGCATCTCTCTCTCTCCCCCCCCCCCCATGATTAATAGCTTTGCGAATAAGTAACAAAAAGAATTTACTATACCTGATTTTTTACACTGGCATATCTTTTCAGGTGTTTTATAAATTCTGACCGAGAAGTGTTTCGGGCAATTATAAGAGCCATACTTCCATTATTTAACCTGAAATTAAATGTTTGTATTAGACAATAAGAAGTTTAATAAGATAGTATACCAAAAATTATGACATACTGTTTCTTATATAAAAGTACTGGACAGGATAGATAAATCATCACCATGTTTCATTTACCTGAAATTCATAAACCGTATCTTGCTATTATTTTTTAAATGATGCAGCCTTTCAAATGAGTTTTATTAAATCACTGGCTTCCTTCTCAATACACTCCCACATTAGAGCATTTTACAAAACAAACCATCATGCATCCTACTCACATATCAAGACATAATTTAAAATTCAATGTAATTAGAAATTCTAAATATGAAACTATGTTATTAAAAGATGTATTATAGAATAGTTAATATGCACAAGTGGCGTAACAAATAGCTCAACATTTTCTAAAATCTAAAGTGTGATTTAAATATTTATTTATAGACAGAAGGTCCAAATGACATAGGAAATGAAATAAATCAAAGTGGCCTTTGGATGGATGACATGGAGTGAACAAATGCTGCCACACATGTTCAGTTAAATGACTGAACATTTTAATCTTGCATAACTGTTCCATCCAGTATAAGAGACTGAAAATTCAGAGGTGTGATTTAGTGCCAAAACAGCCACTCACAAATGCATTGAGCTATAGAAGGCAGTTTGCAGAAATACATACAAATGACTTCTAGCTTGATTTCAGTGCAAACATGAAGTTAATCTAAGAATAACAACAACATAAGAAAGAGCTCTTGGTACCTTATGGAAGCTCAGGTTAGAGCTATAAGGGACTTTAGAGATTATCTCATCATTCACTCATTTCACATAGAAGGAAAAGACAACTCCAAGTTTAAGTGATTTGTTCAAAGGCACACAGAGAAAAACAAAATGGTCATCAGCACCAATACTCTGCTCAATAGTCTTTCCATCGTGCCTCTTCTTCCCAATTAAAAATAAATAGCACCAAAATATTCATGGTAGCGTTACTGTGCATCCTTTATTTTTTTTAATTGCATAATTTTATAAACATTAAAAGCATTATCCTATGCCTGCTTTGCAATATTTACTTAAAATAGAAACACAACTTACATGGCTGGCACTGCGTTAAATGTTTCACATATATGAACACATTGAATCTTAGAATACATAGAATATAAAAATATTAGTTCCTATCAGCAACTTGCATTGAGATATTTTAACATAAATTATTATTTATCATGGTGCAGGAAAAAGCAGAAAATGAAGTCTCCTGTTCAATCATCCTGATTCATCAGAAGTTCCATTTCTGAAAAATCTCTGGTCAACTGAGGCTTGATCTATAGGCCTTTGTGAAGATGGCATGTTGTGATTATAAACCACATAAGAAAATCTCTAATTAGTCATCCTTCTCTGAAAAATTCAACAATACCAATTAAGCCTGGAGAGTCAACAGTGGAATTCCAGTCAAGCTGAACATTTATGAGTGGCTTTGAAGGAGCTATGAATCAATTGCTCCCAGAAAAGCAGTACTATGCTCTCAAGAAGGTCCTTGAGCAAATGGGGTTAGATATCCATTGCTTGGTCAGCTAGCAAAGTCTTCAAGCTTAGTCAGGGAAACTACTTTAGGACAGCGCACAGCTATCTGGGATTTCTGAGGGTGTGTGGGGAAACTACCAGGCTCAATTTCTAAGTCACACAAGATACAAAATACTCCTGACAAGCTTTAGCACTAGATGTAATTAATGAGGACCTTGCCATCTGGGTTTTCAATATCCAAGTTTGTAATTTCTCTTTTTTCTTCCCTGACTTGAGTATTTCCCTGTTTATTGACTATATTTCACAACATTCATAATCCTTTCTCCTATGCTCTACAGGATTGGATTTAGGAAAGAAATATTTTCAGCCCCATAATGGACAGCTGTTTAAGAAGAATGTGTAAGACAAGGAATGCCTACATCCTATGGATAAAATTATACATATGTCTTATATTTCATTCAATTGAAAATGTGGGCAGGAGATTGATGTGCACTACTATTCACATTAAATAGAACTGAAAGGTTTTCTTTAACTAAAAGTATCTGATATGGTTTGGCTTCGTGTCCCCATCCAAATCTCATCTTATTGCTCCTATAATTCTCATGTGTTGTGGGAGAGACACCATGGGAGATAATTGAATCATGGGGGTGGGTCTTTTCTGTGCTGTTCTCGTGATAATGAGTAAGTCTCATGAGATCCAGTGGTTTTAAAAACAGGAGTTTCCCTACACAAGCTCTCTTTTCTTATCTGCCTCCATGTGAGATGCGAGTTTCACCTTCTACCATGATTGTGGGGCCTCCCCAGCATCGTGGAACTGTAAGTCCATTAAACCTCTTTCTTTTGTAAATTACCCAGTCTTGGGTATGTCTGTATAAGCAGCATGAAAACAGACTAATGCAGTATCAAATATACATATGTGGGCTTTTCATGCTAAGGATATTTATGTTTGCATTAAAGTTGGAAAGCAAAGGCAGTCACAAAAATATCAGTATTTAATATAATGTCCTCAACAACTAAATGAATAAATCAAGCAAAGTAGGCATATGATAAAATTCTGTCAATAAAACCTAGAAAATATTATTTTATCCTCAGTGACCTTAAATAGTAATGCTCATCTGCTAATTATTCCAGTTCAACAGTTCTTCTCAACCTACTGTGACAAATCCCTCAGAATCTCTAATATACAAAGAGAAACCACCTGTTAAGTTTCTAGCTAACCAACAGTTAGTCGGGTATACTGGAAAAAAATTGATTTATAAGAAAAGTATCAATGATTCAATAAAAATGCTTACTCACCTGGTATTCGGTGCGAAGCCTCTAGGTGCCACTGAACACAGGCAAGGAATTGCCATAATGCTGACATTCAAGAACTGACCCTGGATCATTTGCCACTGATCATTACAGTCTAAAGGTAATGGAAGTGACTGGTTATTTTCCCTCACCAGAGCAAAATGTCAACAGAACCTGGCATAGTTCTCAAGGAGATGCTTTTGGACTCACCAGATTTGGGAGATCCCTGTTCCCTCCTAAAAGTAACAAAACAAAACAAACACAAAACAGGTAACACACACACACAAATCTATTAAATATGAGAAAATCAGAGAACCCATCATTACATATATTACTTTCTTAATTAGATAGTAAAACTATGTGTACAATTTTGTTGCTGCCAACATTATAATGCGTTGATTATTTTAAAGGTAAACTAGTATTATGAAGAACAATAATTTTCTATTTCTTTAAAGATTATAACCCTTTTTTAAATATAGCTTTAATATTTGTATTACACACTAGACCAAAACTCTCATGAGGGACAAAACTGTGTGTTTTGTTCATTTTTTGGTGCATTGTTGTATCCAGAGTTCCTGGCATATAGTAGTCACTCAATAAACAGTGAAAGGAAGGGGAAAGGAAAACAGAAAAGGGAAAAGGAGAGTAAAGAAAAAAAAAAGGAAAAGAAAAGGAAGGAAGAAAGGAAAGAAAAAGAGGGAGGGAGGGAAAAGAGAAAAAGGCTGATGAGTGGTTGTTTGCTTACTAGGATCCGTAGGAGTCTATAATTCTATATTCCTTAGTACCGTGTTAGAAAAATAATCAAAGATCCTAAGTCTGATCAATTGTTTATGTCAGAATGTTTTATGTTTTAAAGAAAGATATAGGTTATCTGTATTACACTGAGTTTTTACTTACCTTTCTTGCACATCATCAGAGGTGTTAAATGGTAAAAATGATATTTCACAGTCTTCTGGCCTAAAATATAATGAAATTTACTATTAACAGTCATTGACTCTGGGATACAAAATTTTTGGTTTAAGAAAAAGACTTACTTAAGTTTTGCCAGTGCCTTAATGACAGCAAAATCTCTCCTTTGGTTAGGGGACATCCATCGATATTTTTCTGCCAGAGCCAAAGCTCTTCCGCCAAAGCCAAACATGGCTGAGAACCCAAAGCGAAGAAGCTTTCCAGTGGAGCTGAAGGTGCAGACATCGACCAGCTGTACATGCCCTTGAATATTATATTAAATATTAGTGAGTACAGTAGGACTTGTATCAAAACAGCAAACATAAGAGAGCATATTTATTGACTTATAGGGAATATCTCAAGGTACTGTAGACCATGGACATCCTCACTTTCTCTTCAGCTCCCTTTACCTATAACTACATAAATTGCCATTTTTAACTTGTTCAGGTATTAGTAAAACAAGTCAGAGTAGTAAATTTTTCAGCTTATTGCTATTTCCTATAAAACATGGTCAAATAAATGAAGTTGAAGTAGATGGGCAAAGTAAACTTAGATTTAACAGTAGTTTGGCCTTACATATACCTGAGCTTATACATTTTCTACCAATTAGGATAATAAAATATCTACAGACATATACTGGCTGAAATTATTTTCCTGTATGTTTTTTCATTTATACCATAATCCTAGTCTTAGAGTCTTGGTAAATCCGACATCAGTGTTGGATATACTTAAGGAGTATGCATTAATTTTCTTAATCTAGTTATAAAATCATTATTTTGAGCATCACTACAATATTTTTTTCTATAGAGATTGCAGTAAAACTTCATTTACTACTCTTTACAAGGCAAGTATTTTGAAAAGATAGGCTGTCCAAATAGTAAAGCATTGCCTTTTGGTTTTTTAGTCAAACATTTCTCTACTTTCAGAGACAAAGAACCTGCCTTTCTTTAAAGTCTGATGGAAATAAGATAGCCTTCCTTACATAAATCAAAATTTGCTTTTAAAATATGAACTCCTTTGGAAGAATTCTTACCCATTATAATGTGCAATGCTGCAGTTACCACATGAGGAACTCCATGAAGAGAATGTGCCAATACATTGGTAGATCCTGCCAAAGCAATTTTAAAACATGCACTATCAGGGTAGAATGTGTTTAAATTAACATTTGCTCTTATTTTATATAGATGTCATTCTGCAATGTTGAGATGAAAAATGAAAATTTATAATCAGAAAAGTTAATGAAAATATTAGTTGAAGTTCTCATTCACAGTATAGATGCATATCAAATGTCTGCACAATTATTTGTTGATTGTTAACTTAGAAATTCAAAAATAGTTTATAGTATCTGCTTACAGCTTTTTTAAATTATGGATGTCTATATTCTACCTTCCAAATGCTAGCTGTATCAAAGCCCACTCCATCCAACCCTAATGAATGGGTTTTTAGCTTCTATATCAAAATGAGGATCAACAGCAAAAGGGTGCCTCTCGAGAACAGAGACAAATGCAAATATAAATAAAAAAGAAAATAACCCAAACCATAACTGAGAAAAATTATAAAATAACTATAAACTGCGAAAGATATACTCTAAATATATTTAATGAATATTAGAAGTAAGCTCTTAGCCTAATAAGAATTTCCTCTATTATCTGACAAATGTCTCCTACATTGAAGAAAAGGTTTAATTCCATGGTGTTTCCCACGTATGAAGATTCTGATTTTCATGATCATTAGAATAATTTAAGACACACCAGTATTTTCCCCACCAGTCTACAGAGGCAAAGAGCTCCCCAAGTCAGGCCCCTTTAATTTTTATGTGTGACTGAAATCTGAGATACAGGGAAAAATACCAGCTAGCCCCTCTCATTCCCAGGAGGCTAAAGAGAATTTAAAATTATTAAGAATAGAATGAATGAGGCTACAGTTTTTCTTGAATGAAAGAATATGACAAGGAAGTCCAATAATGGCTGAGAGCTGTGAAAGCATGGATGCAGTGTGCTCCAGTTATCAAGGCAAAGGCCAGTCCTCTGGATTTTGTTAATTAGAAGCATTCCTATGTGATCATATATAATTGCTTTAATTTGTCACTTTGAACTGATACATATTTGGATTGCTAAATTGGAGAGGCTGAGGCAGCTTAGCCATTATCAACCAAGAGATCATTAAAATCATAATTTTTATTAGGTACCTATGTAAGAATTAATAAACATATTTATTATTAATAAATAAGTATAATTAAACCAGATTTCTAGTAATACCAATGCAAAGTTTATTTTAACAAATTGGCAAACTGGTTCCAACTGATTAACCAAAAGGCAAGTTATGCTGTGACCTCTGTTAGAATATGGCCTACTGTCGAGCAGGAATGACAACACTTGAGTGCTTAATAAAATGTGACTCTCATGAGTTGAGAGACAATGTCTTCTTCCTCAAAAAGACATTATACCCATTTTCACCAGTGTGAAAATGGGTATAAACTTTCCATGGTACTAAAATTGTACTGGAAGTTCTAGCCAGAGCAATTAGGCAAGAGAAAGAAATAAAAGTCTTCCAAATCATAAAGACGTAAGCTAAATTGCCTCTGTTTGTAGGCATGATCTTATTTCAGAAACTCTAAAGGATCCACGAATGAATCATCAGAGCTAATAAACAAACTCAGTAAAGCTGCAGGACACAAAATCAACATATAAAAATCATTACTATTTCTACACACTTACAACTATCTGAAAAAGAAATCAAGAAAACAATCCCTGCACAGCAAAAGAAACTATCATCAGAGTGAACAGGCAACCTACAGAATGGAAGAAAATTTTTACAATCTTCCCATCTGACAAAGGTCCAACATCCAGAATTTACAAAGAACTTAAACGTATTTTCAAGAAATAAAACAACCTAATCAAAAAGTGGGCAAAGGGTACGAACAGACATTTCACAAAAGATGACATTTATGTGGCCAACAAACATGAAAAAAAGCTAAATATCACTGATCATCAGAGAAATGCAAATCAAAATCACAATGCTACCATCTCACATCAGTCAGAATGGCAATTATTAAAAAGTCAGGAAACAACAGATGCTGGCAAAACTGTGGAGAAATAAGAACACTTTTACATTGTTGGTGGGAAGGTAAATAAGTTCAACCATTGTGGAAGACAGTATGGCAATTCCTCAAGGACCTGGAACCAGAAATACTATTTGACCAGCAATCCCATTACTGGATGTATATCAAAAGTTAATAAACCATTTTACAATAAAGAAACATGCACAAATATGTTTACTGCAGCACAATTTAAAATAGCAAAGACTTGGAACCAAACTAAATGCCCATTAATGGCAGAATGAATAAAGAAAATGTGGCACATATATACCATAGAATACTATGCAGCCATATTAAAGAATTAGTTCATGTCCTTTGCAGAGATATGGATGAAGGTCTGTCATTCTCAGCAAACACAGGAACAGAAAACCAAACATCACATGTTCTCACTTTTAAGTGGCAGTTGAACAATGAGAGCATATGGACACAGGGAGGGGAACATCACACACCAGAGCCTATCGGGGGGAGGGGAACAAGGGGAGGGGGATCATTAGGACAAATACCTAATGCATGTGAGGCTTAAAACCTAGATAACAGGTTGATAGGTGCAGCAAACCACCATGGCACATGTATACCTATGTAACAAACCTGCACATATATTCCAGAACTTAAAATTTAAAAATAAGGAACAAGAAATTTAACCAAAAACTTGAAAGGCCTGTACACTGAAAACTAAAAATATTGATAAAAGAAACTGAAGAAGACACAAATAAATGGAAAGATATTGTTAAAATTTTCACACCACCCAAAGAAATCTGCAAATTCAATGCAATCCCTATCACAATTCCAAAGGCTTTTTTTTTTTTTTTTTTTTTTTGGAACAGAAATGGAAAAAAAACATCTAAACTTTCCATGGAAATACAAAAAAACCCAAGAAGCCAAACCAGTATAGAGGCATTACAATACCTGACCTCAAAATATACGCCAAAATAGCAATCAAAACATGGTACTAGTGTAAAAACAGACACATAGACAACTGGGACTGAATACAGATCCTGGAAATAAACCCAAGTATTTATGGTCAACTGATTTTCAACAAAAATGTCAAGAAAATTTAATTGTGAAGGGATGCTGTCTTCAATAAATGGTATTGAAAGAACTAGATAGCCATATGCAGAAAAATAAAATTAGTTTATCTCACACCATATATATATATATATATATATATATATATATACAGAAAGAGAGAGAGAGAGCGCGCTCAAAAAGCTTAAAGACAAAAATGTAAGACGTGAAACCATAAAACTCCTAGAAGAAAACAGGAGAAAAGCTTCATGTCACTTATCTAGGTAATTCTTTTCTGGATTTGACTCCAAAAGCACAATCAACAAAAGTGAAAACAGACACAGAGATTACATCAAATGAAAAAGCTTCCCCACAACAAAGCAAACAATCAATAGATACAACCTATGAAATGAGAGAAAATATTTGCAAACCCCACATCTGATAAGGGGTTAATATACAAAATATGTAAGGAACTCAAATAACTCAATAGGAAGAAAGTAAATAACCTCATTTAAAAATTAGCAAAGGCCCCTGACAGTCATTTCTCCAAAGAAGACACACAAATGGCCAGCAGACATATGAAAGAATCCCCAATATCACTAATCATCAGGGAAATGCAAATTAAAACCACAATGAAATATCAACTCACAATTGTTAGAATGCTTGTTATCAAAGAGACCAAAACAAAAAAACATAGCAAATGTTAGAGGAAATGTATAGAAAAAGAAACCTTGAACACTATTGGTGGCAAAGTAAATTTGTACTGCCATTATGGAAAACAGTATGGAGGTTCTGCAAACAATTAAAATTAGAATTTTCATATGATCCAGCAATCCTACTACTGGGTATGTATCCAAAGGAAATGAAATTATTATGTCAAAAGGTATCTTCATTCCCATATTTGTTACTGTATTAATCACAATAGCCAAGATACAGAATAAATCTAAGTGTCCATTACGAAAATGTGGTAAAGGTTGAATATCCATGATCTAAAATTCAGAATTGTTTCAGATTACAACTTTTCAGGTATTTGCATATACATAATGAGATATCTGGGGGGTGGAACCCAAATCTAAACATAAATTTAATTTTTATACATCTTTTACATATAGTCCGAAGATAATATTTAAATTTTCAATATTTAAAATTATTAATTGATATTGATTTATTTTGGTTGGTAATTAATATTTAATATTTTTTTTTCTTGGCTAATTTTTTTATTTTTATTTATTTATTTTTTCCCATTTATTTATTTTATTGCATTTTAGGTTTTGGGGTACATGTGAAGAACATGCAAAATTGTTGCATAGGAACACACATGGCAGTGTGATTTGCTGCCTTCCTCCCCATCACCTACATCTGGCATTTCTCCCCTTGCTATCTCTCCCCCGCGTCCCACCCCCCACCGTCCCTCCCCTAATTCCCCCCAACTGACCCCAGTGTGTAGTGCTTCCCTCCCTGTGTCCATGTGTTCTCATTGTTCAACACCCGCCTATGAGCGAGAACATGCGGTGCTTGATCTTCTGCTCTTCTGTCAGTTTGCTGAGAATGATGGTTTCCAGGTTCATCCATGTCCCTACAAAGGACACAAACTCATCGTTTTTGATGGCTGCATAATATTCCATGGTGTATATTTTTTCCCTATCCAGTCTATCATTGATGGGCATTTGGGTTGGTTCCAGGTCTTTGCTATAGTAAACAGTGCTGCAATGAACATTCGTGTGCACGTGTCCTTATAGTAGAACGATTTGTAATCCTTTGGATATATACCCAGTAATGGGATTGCTGGGTCAAATGGAATTTCTATTTCTAGGTCCTTGAGGAATCACCACACTGTCTTCCACAATGGTTGAACTAATTTACACTCCCACCAACAGTGTAAAAGTCTTCCTATTTCTCCACATCCTCTCCAGCATCTGTTGTCTTCAGATTTTTTAATGATCGCCATTCTAACTGGCGTGAGATGGTATCTTAATGTAGTTTTGATTTGCATTTCTCTGATGACC